TCAATCGTTCGGAAATGACTTAGAATAATCTGTAGGTCACTTCATTGCTTGGAAAAGCATTCGTTTGCATACAACAAGCTGTAGAAGGAACTCGGCCAAAAATCGCTTCTGCCGATATACATATATAAATATATTGACAGATCAAATTAATTCCGACCGTTTTTTTTAAATTGTTTTAAATTACAAAAAGAAAAAAAATAATTCAAAGTATTTTTCATCGGAAGCGACTACTTACTTACTTTGCTGGCGTAGACTGCTGCGTCTTGATTCGATGAACTATATCAGTGTTGTTGTATAACTCGTGCGCTCATCGTTCCATCGTCTGCGATATTTGCCGCTACCAATGTGCAAAGGACCATAAATCTTACGCAAAACCTTTGTCTCGAAAACTCCTACCGCCTACTCATCGTCCATGCTTCCTGCTATATGGACGGGGACGATGAGGGACTTGTAGAGTTTGGTTTTCGTTCGCCGTGAGAGGACTTAGTTTTCCTAAATACACGAACAAATCTACGACATTCAAAGTTATGACAGTAAACAGTAACGTGGGAGCTGAGTCGTGAATGCGATGACTGTTTATTTGATAACAGAATATATTTCGTCTGGTCTTGCTTCACTACCAGACCAATTCGCTTCGCTTCTTTATCAAGCCTGGGGAAAGCAGAACTAACGGAGCGGTTGTTGAGGCCAATAATGTCAATAGCAACGGCAGAGGCCAGCAGCTGTACACTCTCCATCATCAAATTAAAGAAGCCACAAGATAAGGAGTCGCTTTGTCTGAAAACTCGTTTGGTATCGAACTGCTCGGAGAGGTCCTTCCCGGTCCTGATGGACCTTTTCCGTCCATCAGTTTAGTTCAGTTGTATAGTATAAGTTTTGTGGGGATACCAAATTCAGACAAAGTGGCGTAGAGGCACTTATCAGATATGAAGCCACACTGATAAGGTCCAAATAGTTTGTTGACGGTTGGCTTCAGTCTTTCACAAAATACGCTAGACAGGACCTTTTAGGCGATATTAGGGAGGCTTATCCCAAGATAATTGGCGCAGACTGTGGGATCTCCTTTTTTATAGATTTGCTTCCCTTTTCATCTCTCGGTATCTATCCCATTCCGCACGTGTTGTGGTCGCTCGCAATTTTGCGAGGTAGGCAGTCTGTTTTCTCCCCCTTGCGACACGTCAGTCCTCATCGTACCAGCTGTTTTTGCGTTTTTTACGAAATCCCATAGTTTCGGTTGCAGCTGTACGTAGGGAGTTTGATAAGCCGTCCCACAAATCTCGTAAACCGAGTTGCTGATGAGTGCTCTCAGAGAGCAGGAGTACAAGTCGAGTAGAAAATCGTTCGGCAGTTTGTTATGATTGCACCTTTCCTTGTGTTTGTTGGCGGGCGTTCTTGTAAACACAGAGGCGCGTGCTTATCTTCGCTGCAACACGATAGTGATCCGAGTGTTGGGTATTCGGAGGATCGGAAGCGACTACTTTGTTTCTTTTTCAAGTACCGTCTGCAACGGTGACCCCAAAATCATTTTACATCCACGAAAAGGCCAGGAAGGAACAAGGTCGGGTCGGGTACGACGACCTTTTTCAGCTATCGCAGGTAAGGTTTTGTCCATTTCAGCCATGATGGCTGAGTGCACCAAAATTACCCTTAGGCCATTTTTGTCCGAATTTCATGCAATGTACGATTCAAACGGATTAGTCGTAGCCGTAAACTCACTATATGTATATATATGTATGTTTACAACCGCACAACAAATTAAAACTATTAAAACCTACTACTAAAATGGTTATTCAATCGTGGTCACGTTTCGAGGCTTAAGAGGACATTGTGGGGCACATAATTGTCTACCTACTCAAGCAATTCGTAAGGTTTTAAAAAATTCTAAAAAGGCTGAATGGGTGACAGATATTGTAAGGCCTGTGCATCATCGCTTGGTCGTTCCATTTCATACTTTTGACAAGTTAATAGGTGAAGAGTTATCTATGAGTATATGTATATATATGTATAAACACCTATGTGTAAACACCTTTGTCTTGAACCCACAGCCCAAACTATTGATTGAAGGGATTTGCAGCTTAGGAAGCGAATTCTGCGTAAGACGATGGCGTAGTTATAAGAAAAGATTTTCCTTGGTGTGTATCTGGAGCCGATCTATTCGAAAGAAATCGAAATTATTGTTTAAATCGTTCATACTTTCCAAAAATTTTGTACATAAGTAGAGAGTTCTTTGCCTAAATTCACATAGGAAACACTTTTTATTCCGCTAAGTGGACTTGGGGCTGATCTGTTCAAAAAATTTATATTAATCGTTTATTTATATAAAATTCTGTAGAGAGATAGCTGTGAGCTTGAATTAATATGGTAAATACTTTTTCAGAGAAGTGAGCTTAGGGTCGATTTATTCGAAAAATGGTGTTCATGGTTCAATTTAAAGGGCACACCTAGTGTAATGGTCTAAAAAAATGTGATTTTTGGGAATTTTTATTAAAAAAATACTTTATCAATTATTTCAAAATTTAAGAACATATTTATAATTTTTTCAAGAATATACAGTGAAGTTTTGGAATAAAAAAATTAATTATTTTTTAAGTTATAGTCGATCGCCATCTACTAGATATTTTCTGTACAAAAAAAAATAAAAATTGACAATATGGCGGCGTTTTAAAATCAGATAAAAAATCGATAGGTCACATTGTACAGAGAACTATATATAGAGCATGCAAAAAAATTCGATAGTGATCGGATCATTTGTTTTTGAGTAATCACTGCAGCAAATTCGGAAAATGCTGTTTCGAGAACAACGCGTTCAAAGATAAAATGATCGTTTTCACGCGTAGCTAATGAGACTCTCTAGCTGCCGAGCAGCTGCTTTTTAAATTGCAATAATTCAAAAACTATTTGAGATATCGATTTGAAATTTCAATATGTTTTTTTGAAGGTGTAATCTAGCGAAATATGAAAAAGATCGATTTATTTGAAATTATTCACTAGGTGTGCCCCTTAAATGAAATTTGGTATTAGGAAATTATTCGTTCCAGGAAGCATTCCTTTAGATAGTCTGGTGTTGCTTAATATATGGGACATGGATATCCCATTTTGACTATGCCAATGCATGGAGAATTTCGTGTTTGCCCATGAGGATCCTTTTTGGTGAAATGTTATAACGAAATTTGAAGCAGGAGATATTTAAATATTTATAAAATAAAATCATTAATGATGGTTTTGAGCTATAGGGTAACATGCTACCTAATCAAATTTTTGAATTGGCACCATAAACGGATATTAAATGGAAACGAAGGAAAATGGATGGATCTGGTTTTCCCTTTGAGCTAGATTCTCAACTATCAACGAATGTTTGAGAGCCCTACCAAAACTTTGACAATTTTTCTAATGAACTTTTACAAAAAAATGGCTATTTATACATATTCGATTACGGTTCAAAATAAAGTATTTGGTATTAAGCCAGCTGAAAATTGAAAACTAAAAATAGTGATTGGGTTTAAAAAAGGCATGGGCATAGAAACAATTCAAAAACGCTGCCACGAGGAACTTGTATGTATCGATGAACGAATTATGCCATTTGAAGGAAGATTATCTTGCAAAATATACAAAAATGGTAAACCAAATCCGTGAGGTATTAAAAATTACCTTCTCTGTGGAAAGTCAGTTTCTAATGAATTCGAGTTATATCAAGGCAACGACAACTTAGTTAGTAGCACTTTCTTCTGCGATAGCTCTTCAGATTGACTAAGTCTGGGGATAATCTGTATTTCAAAAATTTCTTCAATGTCACAGAGGTATATAAATGAAGCGAAAGAGCTCGAGTAAACAGATTTTAGATGGCCCACATTTATGTCTGTTAAAGATCTCCTGGAGCTTGGAAGTGGTTCGTCTGACTGTTTAGTAAGCACATATGGTAAAATTTGCATGGTAAATCTTTTGATTTATGTCGCATTGGTGCCACCTTCTATAAATGTTGCAATAGAAATACAACTTCAACAAAGGATATATTGAAACTTCATAATTTTACGATGAAAGTTGCAAACAGGCTCGTTTTATTTGAGAAAGCTGCAAGAACTCACAAAAGAGGACGTCCAATATATATATCAACTTCTGACGTAAATATTTATCGGAAAAAAACTTTTTTTAAAATATTTCTTTAATTAATTAAAATAGAAATTTTATTTTTCGAATGAACGACCGGAAAAGAAATTGTCCATAGATCGGCTTGATAATTTTCTTGCTCATGACGGTTAACCGATTCAAACGAAGTGTAAATACAAAGCGTGATTGGTTTACGCAAATGCACAATTATTTTTTACCATCTTTGTGAACTTTAAACGATATGTGAAACGAGGCCCGAAAAGACGCTTGAGAGCATTTTGCTGCATTTTTTTCTAAATAAATTCAAAAATTCTCAGGAGCAAACTCACCTCTAAGCAACAAAAATCAGCAGCAAAACTAATGATGTCAGTTTACTTCACCAGATCTAAATTCCACTTGAAAATGGCAGACGGTAACTGCAAAATCGTACACCGAAGAGTGCTTAACAAAAGTTTTCAAAAATTTGTTGAAAAACAGAAAGAAAGAATAATTTGTTTGCGATATCTGGAATCGAAGAAATACCCCCATTGCCATATTCACCTGATATTGCATGTCATCATTTCTGGTTTTATACAAAAATTGAAAAAAAAAAAAAACTTAAAAGAAATGGTGTCTAATAGTAACGAGGGTATAATTAATGCGCTTAATGCTGAACTTAAAAAGCTTAAAAAGCAATATTATGAAGACTGTTTTCAGAAAGTACTTTTCTGGTCAATTAACCGAACTTTTTTAAATTTTTTTTCGGGCGGAGGGGGTGTAAAACTCAACAATATTATTCAATTTATAAGAACGAAATTTAAACGCAATATGCCAATTTAATTTTTTCTATCATAGCGCTAAAATTCTATGCGAACGAAGTCTTAGTTATAAAACTGGAATAATAAAAGTCAGTGAAGATTGTAGTCTTCATTTAATTTTTTATTTATTTATAATGTTTTACTATAATTTCCGCAAAAATACATTGAAGAGAATCTACTAGATTTTTACTTAAAAATTAACAATATTTTTTTAGTGTCGACAAATTTTGCTTTATTCCAAAAAGTTTTGCATAAAAATTACGTTAAAAAACAAATCTTTACTTTTGTCACAATTCTTTGGCAATTTTTACACAAAACTGGATATACATACATACATATGTGCATTTTTATTTTCACATGATATTTTACAATAAAAATATGATATACACACTTATGTATGTACTCGTATGTTTGTATGTATTTTTGCAAAAAATATATATGTGAATTATTGTCCCTATTGTTTAATTCAGATAAAGGTAAGTACAATATGTAGGTGGTAGTTAATAGATGTGTAGGTGTACAAACGTTTGATACAAACATTTGTATTGTAGATGTGTGTGCGTCTGATTAAACAATTTTATTATTACACATACATAGGACATTTGTATGTGTGTGTATGTAGTATTTTACTTATCTTACTAATACTAACTAATACAATAGTTTATGATAGAAGGCAAATTTACAAATATATTTATTATGTATGTAAATGTACGGACTTGTACGATATACCACACGCCAATGGCAGTTTTTCGCATAATGTGCCTTTTGCTTATGAATTTCTAGCGGTGAGTGTGTGTGTGTGTGTTTGAGGACAGTTTCCTGTAACTACTCAGTCAAGGTAGTAAGTTTTGTTCTATTGGGTTTTAGTTGATACATTTGAAGCTTTATGGCAACAAAAATTCTTAAACAGGGCAGGGGCATGGCGTGGCAGGGGCAGAGAAGTACAATATTGCATGGTGACTGTGGCTTAAATAAGTTGCATTAAATTCTAATTAATTTGCATATAAAAATGTATGTACTTTTTATTTTTTTATTTTAATTAATTGTAATTTTAAACTAAAATCGCATCACTACTTATTAACTGTTTAATAATGTTTCTGTATTTAGAATTTTTTCTCGTGTGAATATTACTAGGATTTTGTTACAATTTAAATGGCAATATGACTGCAGAAGGGTTGAAAGGCAGTAACGACTAAACAAAAAATGTTGTTGGCAAAATAATTTCTCAAACTCCTAAGAAGAAAAAAATAGATTCAGCTCAACATATTCTTGCGTTCGCTAGTAAGTTGTGCACTAAAACAATTACGCAATTTTGTGGTACAGTTGTGGGGCAAGTTACTTCCGCTACTACACAGTAGTAAATCGACTAACGAGCTTTTCAGCTGTAGCCACCAAAACCAATGTGAATATGTTTTATTTCTGCATAAATTTCAATTACCTTACTGCCTTTGAATATCTGACCCCTTCTACAAGTTTTCTATACTAGTTTTTTTTGTTTTGTTCTACTCCAGGAGGAGTGTCTCACTCTCACACAAATCGTTCGTTCGCTGCACCCTACCGCCTAGCCACGCCACGTCAAGAGACTCCAACCGCGCTTAGCCGGTTGTGGTGTTGTATGTGTAACTTGTTGGTTTTGTTTGCTTTCATCGAAAACATAGACCTCAGCTGCAACGCCAACATCTGTATTGCTATTTTCTTGTTCTTGTTGTTTTTGTGCTTGTTGTTGTAATTGATGTTCACTCAAATTGGGATTACTCAAATATGTCCTTAGAATGGTGTGCTTCTGTACGGCCCTCTGAAATTCTGTTGTGGACGGCTTATATGTCTCGAGTTTGTTCTTATATTTGTTGTTGCTGCTACCGGTCTGAGTTGTGTACGTCTTGATGCCGGTTGTTGTTGTTGTAGTTGAGGTTGCCTTGTGTAATGTGGCACTAAACGCTGAATTGCTGGTTGTTGTTGTGGTCTTACGTTGACTAAATGCGTTCGCCGCCTGTTTGGAAGAAGAATATACAGAGGGGGAGGAGGAAGAAGAAGAGGTTGTTGCTGTAGCTGATTGCGTTGAATATGCGTATTTTTTGTTGTTGCTATTTTGCTTGTACTCATACGTGTCAATGGCGTTGGCGCTTACAACTGGCGCAACCGATGGTGCGCATAAACCCTGATAACGCGACGAAGATCTTAAACCATATGTAGCACACGATGGCTTGCCTACCTGATATGGGTTATAACCGACGACGTTACCACTGAAATAAAACAATTGTAAGGCTTATAAAGGATATGCTTATGGGAAAGATAATAAAAAAATTTAATTGAATAGGAAATAATAAAGATTTTGTATAGTTCTCCAGCCAAATAAATGGAAATGTCAAATGAAGATTGAATTTATAAATTTGTTTATGTCCTCCAAAATCATCAAATGACGTCAGGAGCTAAGAATTAGTGCCTAGGACGATTGCAGTGAAGTAATTGCAATCAGCTGGCTTCCAAGCCAAAACACCATGGAGGGGAATGAAATAATATGGAAGATTATGGAAAATTTTACTCATCTGGCAATGGAACTAGAACACAAATCATCTGGATTGATGTCTAAGGAACAACGGGTTGGATCGTCGTTATTTTTTTTTAATTTTTTTTTTTATTTTATTTAACTTTATTTTATTTTATTTGACTTATTTTAATTTATTTTATTTCATTTCATTTCATTTCATTTTATTTTATATTATTTTATTTTATTTTATTTTGTTTATCATATTTTATTTTATTTTATTTTACTTTATTTTATTTTATTTTATTTTATTTTATTTTATTTTATTATATTTTGTTTCACTTTATTTTATTTCACTTTATTTATTTTTTTTTATCTTATTCTATATAATTTTATTTTTTTAATTTTTTTTTTGTATTGAGAATATAAAGGCATAGCAACTTACCCTGGTCCATAATTACAAACGTACAGCTTATTATATTTGGTTGAGTCTTTGTATTCAGAAAAACCGCAACCAACTAAGCTTGTTTCTCCCCAGACCAGCTAGAAAAAGAAATTTAAAAATATATTATTATATGTAATTTAATATTAGGTATATATTTATGTTCAGTATTGAATATTCACCAATTTTTTTTTATAACTATTACGATTTTTTAATACAAAAATAAGTCGCTTTAGTATTTTAAAATATATAAAAAATTATTAATATAAGTAAAAAGTATTATGTTTTCTTGTTCTTATTTCAACTTCAATTCATCCCTCCCACTTACCTGGGAGTAATGACCAGTTTTGGGTGACCAAGCATCGCCGAATGAGTACTTTTGCACCTCATTGAACCAGCTTTGGATGCGTGAAGGAAAATCGCCGTCGGTTGGATCCAGTGGCGCTGTACTCCATATAATAGCCAAATTCTGACCCATTGTGAACCGATCTATGGAGATAGTAGCAAAGGCAGATAGTTGACGGCGAGCATGATGATCCAACGGTGGCGCACAAACAGCGAACAGGAACAAGGCAGAGTGGCAATTTCAAGTGGTAGAGTAATAAAGAGTGCGGAAAATAGAACAAAAGTTAATCATTGTAACTCATCAATAATTGAGTTAAGTTTGTATTCTCAACTCAGTACAACAAAAAAGCGTGGAGTTAAAACACAAACATTCAGTTTTAGACGTGGAACATAGACATGCAGAATTTTTAGTTACAAATTTTTCAATGTTTCGATTACTAAATAATAATTATGTATAAAAAATATTTACGGTTATTTAACAAATAAACATTTCATAGAGTGCTGATTAGATACACATCCGTTTGGTGAGAATACAAACACTTAGTTACCCTTGGGGATGACCGAACTTTAGTCCGTTTTTTGCTTGAATTGTTAGAACTTGTGTTAACTGATACATATTTTTTTATGTTTTTGGTATTTCAATTTTTTGTTTTGCGATGTGCTGTGATTGTTATCATTTTGCTTGAAGTTCATGGGGTTTTTGAATGCATGCGGCGTGCTGGGAGTTTAATATACTTTAAATAAATTTTTGTGTGAAGTTTTCAGTTATTTCACTATTATAATATAATATGAAAACATGTTGGGTTAGAATTATATGTCAATCTAGATATTTTGAATTTTAGAATATTTTATTTAATTTTTTGTTTGTTTTGCTTTATTTTGTCGATAGAACTTTTAAAATATATATGTATATAATAATAATTTTGAATGAAAATATATTTTATGCTAAGGATTTTCATATTTTTATTTATTTTTTTTTTTAAGTATCTCTAATACTTTTGAAGTTTTTATTAATATATTCATGCTGTTAATCACATATGTATATCTTGGGGATGATGAATTCTTTTATTAGCGTGTCCATGTACCATTTGAGTATGCACCATTTTTTTCGATTGCGTTCTTCTTTAATTTTATTTTAGTGCAAGAATTATTTGGTTTGCAATTTGAGAAAGTTTAGTATGAAATTCGTTTTTTTTTTTTTTTTGGAAATATGAGTATTAAATTTTCATATAAATTTTAATGTGATATTTAATTTTTTTTAATTTTCAAAAGTTATGAGATATAACTAAAAAATGTGTAAATCTTAAATATAAGAATTACTATAAAAATATATCTTCACTTTTTGCAATGTTTTAAAATAAATTTTTTTCTTTTTTCCTTTGTCTTCATGCATGGTTTAACAAAATACCCTTAAGGCAGAGAAAAATCCAAAAATAAATAATGAAGCATAATTAAAACAGTGCTCTCGTTTTCTTAGTGTTGATTAGGTTAATTACACTCAAATATATTAAAACGTGAATAACAGTGAGAAAAACATGAGTTTTATTTGTTAGTGTATTAGTGACATAAAAACACGCCTTCGATGACTTACTTATTGTACGCAAGGGATCATGACGAAATTCACAATTATCTGCCCATTGTTGCGCACGCGCCGCCAACTCATCATCCCAAACGATTTCACGCATATTTTCCGCACCCGGTTGACCTGGATAGCGACCTGTCGCCACTAGCTGGCGCAATTTATTGTGCTCGTGTAGGATGATATCACGTTCGCCAGTTGAGAGGCCAGAAACTGCAAAGCCATGAAAGTAAAATTGTCAATTCAATCATTTCATATGTATGAATATAGTAAATTATATATTATATTTTTTAAAAGTTTGCGGTATTAATTTGCATATCTAAAATGGGATAAGCAATGCGATCGTTTAGTAGCATTTAAATGGTTGAATTAATTAAAATCTTTTGTATAATCAAATTTTTTTTTCTAATTTCTATATATTTTTTCCATAGCCAATCAGCTAATTCAAAGAGCCTATTTAAAGCTGAAAGCGCTTGAAAAAATACCGTTTAGATTTAAAATTTCTTTAAATATTGTGTTACACAACTAACTGCCCTCATTGGGTTTATCCCAATAGCTGGTCCCACTCGCTGCGTTGGCTTGAGTGCTGTTTTTTCTGGATTTCTGTGCGCTATCCAGATCGTTTAAGTGCTAAATAATGGGAATATTGGATATAAATTCTATTTCATATGTCACCTCATTAGCCGCAGTTACTTTATTCTAAGAGTTCACAGACGCTTTGCAGCTAAGATTTAGCTATTATATTATTCTTTAATTTCTTTTTGGGTTTCTATTGCTTTCTTCTCTTTGAAAATGGCGTCGATGTATGTATTTTACTCTTTATTTTTTTACTACCTAATAAAAATTTTATTTTCTATACATGTGCACAATTTATGTGACAACCAAATGATAATTAAGCGAAGAAACAGAAAAAAATACAGTTAAAATGTTTAATTTAAGCAAAATTATCTTGGCAACATAAACACAACCGCCCTTTCTTTACCCCAACCGACTGATTAATATATTACAGCAATTAAGTGTTTGTCCTTTGGCGATTCCTAAGGGCAATCAAATTCATTGTTTATATGTTTATATTAATCTTTTACTTGTTGCTTCTTATAAAATGCCATTTAATCATTTTGTAATTATGTATTCACATGTAAATTTTATTTTTTGGGGAAAGATGTAATCAAATATTTATAAAGTCTCAGCGAAATCCATTCAAATGAGCAATAAAGAAAGCATTTGGATGTTGTGAAAAATGCAAATGTCCAATTGGCCTGATTAATGTATCCACTCGTAGTTTTCGGGTTTACAAAAAATGCTCATGTTTCGCTAAAAGTTTTAAAAGATATCATGTCTCGAATTATTTTTAGGGATGGCCGTTGTAACTCTAACTCGATTATCATGCAGTACGTTGTATGCTTATGTGCAGAGATGACATCACCAAAACCCAACGTACAACAAGAGGCCATTTTTTTTATGTTTTTTTTTTTCAAATAACAGCTTATGGTTCGTACGTATGGAAGACGGCAAATTTTAATTTATATTTCGCCAACTGATTTTATGTTATTTTATTTTATTTCATATTCTTTATTTTATTATGCTATATATTATGATTTAATTCATTCTGTTTTATAAAACTTTTTTACTTCATATTATTTTTTAGATTGAAATTAACTTAATTTAATTAAATTCAATTAGTTTTATTTTATTTTATCTTACTCCAATTTATTTAATTTCTTTTCATTTTATATTATATTTTTTTAATTTTTATTTTACTTTATTTTATGTAATTTAATTTATTTCATTATATTATTTTAAATTATTTGAAATTTCTTATTTTTTAATTTTTTCGTTTTATTTTTAATTTTTTTATTTTTATTGTTTATTATATTATCTAACACAGATTTTAAGTTGTCGGCCTCTACGTTCAGCAGTTTAGGTTGTGGATTGTTACGTCAGTCATTTAGGACAAAGCAATTTGTATTTATAGATAGCAGATAATAAATTTCATATACTTTATTTTATTTACATTCATTTTATATACTATCTTTACTTAAGTAAATTTTCCGTAGTTCAAATAAAACTTTTGTACGGAGACATTATTTTTAACATATTAAATATTAAATCAGTCAAAAATAAGTAAAGAGAATGAGCGGAAGATTAACGAATAAGGGAATCGAATGAGTCCTCTGGTTAAATTCGTATATACTATTAAACCAAACGTAACTTCGAGGTCACTGATAATTTCATATATCTAGGGACCAGCGGTCAACCTTGAAATCCAACCGAATCGCTCTTGCCAACAGGCGCTACTTTTGACTGAGTAGGCAACTGAAAACTAAAGTCCTCTTTCGACGAACCATTACAAAACTCTATAAGTCACTCATCATTCCCGTCCTGCTCTTTGGTGCAGAAGCACGGATGAAGTCGATATCCAATGAGTCGCCCTGAGATTCTGCGAAGGGAAAGTCGAACGATGGTCGTTTGCGCATTGGCGAATACAGCAAATGATGGAACTATGAGCTGTACGAATTGATATAGTTTAGCAAATGAAGAGGCCGCGGCCACGCTGTCTAGGCGGAAGCGGTAGACGAGGAGACCTCCACTCTGTTAAAAGGATGAGGCGGAGAGCGACCTGGTTTTACTGTTTCCAGCAAGTTCCAAAAAGCGACGAGAGATCGAATAGCGTGCTATTGTTGAGTCAGCTATAATCGAGTAAGCGGTGTCCAGTTCAATGAAGAAGGGGAAGATTAAGAGCATGTTTCGATTATTTTAATTTTTCCATCATTTCTGAAGCTAACCAAAAATACACACATATGCACACAAGCACGTGCTATTTATAGAAATAATCACAGTCCCCGGCATCCACTCCTCACTAGTCGATATAGTTAGTTTAGTTGTTCTTAGAACTTGCCGTTTTATGTTGTCTTGTTGAGCTAAGCATTTAAAGCGTAACAGAATTATTAAAGCGGAAAGACATCTAAAGTGGCTCAGGAGGTTATTATTTTCGCTCGTAGCACTGATGAAGTTAAGAACCTTAAGTAAAAACCAGTAAATATTGGTAGTTGAATATGCGTGATTAAACATTGATTGTTGCTAGTTTTGCGTAATGCGCTGAATTTCTGGGAATACCAAAGTATTAAGTTCAATATTGAGTACGGGAATATGAACGAGTTTAACGAACAAAAGAATAAAAATGTATGCAAATATTTATAGAATCAACTCAAAATCACAGGTAATTCCCACTTATTTTTTTTACTGATTTCTCCTAAGATTTTTAATTTTTTTTTAAATTAAATTGCCACAGCTCAACATTATAAAAAATGCAACAGGAAAATATTTAAAAAAACTATGTGCTCGTACATATGTAGGTATATATTTTAATACGTGTTCGCGTAATGATCATGGACATCAGGGTCGTAAGCAGCAGACGCTTTGACTCACGTGAAGACACTTGCTCTCGATCAATTCCATGTAGAACAAGGCACATTAACACATTTCAAAAGCAAATGTAGCATGAATGAAGAGGCGGCAAGCAAAGGAAAATGCTGTCCAACAATCAGAGCAACTGTTGCCGACAACAACAAAAACATTTTCGTGGCGACAAATAATACAAATGAAAGTACAATTATTTAATTCTGGGTAGTACAGTGCGAATGACAGTCGCAGCAGCTTAAAGACTGAGTAGTAAAACGAATTGAGTTGGCGAAACGCTGAGCCATTCATTGTGTTGCTCTGATTTTAAACGCCTTCCACAAGCGAAGGAGTTGTAAACTTGCAAAAAAAAAATGAAAAAATGTAAGTTATGTTCATTTACCGTGGCTACACACAAGGTGATAATAAATTTTTTTAAATGTATATATTTTGTACAGATGTACACGTATATGTGTTGCTACACTTAAAAATGCATTCTGTAAAATTAACGTCGGCGTTTATTGGTAACTGTGTTTGCCTTCACTGTTCACTTGTTGACTCGTAACAGCTGCATGTACCGATTCAACCGCTGTTCGTGCTACGTATTGTATTGTACTTTCGAAACTGCCAAATTCTGAAATACGAGCTGCTGTTGTGGCACATTTAATGAGCGTAATTTGCAGTTGGTGCTGCCACATTCTTCATTCTTGTAGCAGCAATTATTGATTGTGTTAATGCTAGCATAATACAATGTGTACATATGTATATGCACATATGTGGGCAAATACGTATATCTTTCAAATTTCAAGCTTATATTTTATTTTATCCTCTTTCTTTAACTTTTTTTAATTGATTCGATTTTTTAATATTGTTTTATTTTAATTTATTTTATTCTATTTTATTTCATTTTATTTTGATTTAATTTCTTTAATTTTATTTAATTTTTTTATTTTTTCTTATTATATTTTATTTTATATTATTATATTTAATTTTTATTTTTGTTATATCTTTTACTTAAATTTATATTTTTTATCATATTTTTAGTTATGTTTTTATTTTATTTTGCTTTATTTTTTTATTTTTTTATTTAATATTCATTTAAGTTATTATTATTTTTTTTTATTTTGTTATAAGTATTAAGTTAACTAAAGGCTTGCTTTGTTTGTATGAATTGAATATTTTGTTATAATCAACAGGAGACTTGACAGGCGAGTGCTCTACCACTGCGCCAATATCAGCCATTTATACTATTGTATTATTCAATTGATTACTAACCAACAACTATTTTGTAAGCTTTTATTTTATTTTATATAATTTTATTTACTAGTTATAATTTTATTGGTTTTTGTTTTATTTTATTTTATTTTATTTTATTTTATTTTATTTTATTTTATTTTATTTTATTTTATT